CGCTTGTCTTCAGTCCAGGATGACACATATACCTCATTTTGCCTGTCTTTGGTGGAATTTCCATATCGATGTGGATTCCCTGTATGTACACTATTAAATTTTATTTTCTCTAGTTAATCTGTTTCATGTCAATTTGATTCTTATTCCAGCTAGAAGGACTTTTGAGGAGACAAGAAATCTTGCTCTCCAGCAAAGGTTATCATGTTAAGCTTGGCAATGAGTTACTATTATGCCACCAGAAAGATAGCAAAGCTTGGTAGGCTCTGAAAATTTGAAATACAAGTCTGGGTCTCCATTATCCCAATCAGCATAACAAGGTGTATTATAATGACAAAGAGACCTATTCACTACTTTATTATGGCCCCTTCTATTTCCATTTACTCACTGACTTGTTGAGATTTTGTCAAGGAATGGAAATAGAATGGAATTCAGAAGGAAGCAGGCTTGCATTGCATTTGGGATCCATCATTTAATTGTAGTACTGATAAGAAAAACCAAAATAGAGTGCCTGTCATGTGTGTACTACAGAGTTGTTTTGTGTCTACAACTAGGCTAAGAATGTGATGGTCATTATCTTATTTAATCTTCAGAGTGACACATCAAAGTTGATTCTCTTACTATTTTCACTTTACACACAGGAAAAAAATGAATATTGAGAATTTGCCAGGAATGTGTAGATGACTGCACGCGCGCGTGCACACATACACACACACACACACACACACAAACTAGTTCAAGGTCACAAAACAATTGTCTATCAAGCCTGGATTCAAATCCATTCTTGCAAAATTCCAAATTTCAGGGATTTGAACAAATACGATACACAGTTTCCCTTACTTTCTGGCTCTGTCCCTTTGACCTATTTATTTACCTTCTTTGGTTCACAGTTTTTTCATTTAAGACCAAGTCAAAAGGATCAGCCACAGTTATCTCAGCATACTGTTTTGAGAATTAAATGGGATCATGCATATAAAATGTTTGGGCCATAGAAGCATTCTTACAAAAGGTTATTTCCTTCCTGCTTCTGAATCATCAACCTTCTCTCTCCTTGCAGTTCTCCTCCACTGTCTCAGCTCCTCCATCCATTCCCTGCCCTGCCCCCTTGCTTGGGCACAGATGGCAGAAAGGCCCAATGACATGGGCCATCATTACCGCTAGCTGTGTGTCTGGGGTCAAGTAATTTCTTCATTATCTTTCCTTATTGCAAACAGCTTTGGTAAGAGAAAGGGTCCATTAGTAAATATTGATGCCGGCAGGCAGGGCGTGCAAACTGTCAAACAGCCGAAATGAGGGATTGTCAGTTCAGCAGCAAGAACATGAAAAGCCAGTTTAAAGCAAAGATTGAATAAAGAGCAACGTAACTAGAAGAACAAGCAAACACTCATCAACAATGAACAAAGACAAAGAAAGTTTCAGGTCGTGTTGTTTGGAACAATTGTGTAACTTATGAAAGCCTCCACTCTAAGAATTCAGTATACATCAATTTGAAAATAAATTTTAAAAAACAAAAAAGAAAAGAAAGAAAAAAAGATGCATGATAGCTACCAGGTGCAGTGTGAACTTGTTTTCAAGTTTACTTAATAATAAAGTAGTGTAGTGTGGTTATTAAGAACACAGTTTTTACATTTAGAAAAATCTGGTTGTAAAATCTGATTTGTATGACCTTGAGTTCCCTATGTGAATCTCAGTTCCCTCCTTATAAAATGGAAATTATAATGCCAATACCATAGGACTGGCATGAGGGTTAGGAAAGCATGTGACATTGTCTCTAGCACACTGTACATGCTCTAGACATGACTGATTTTTAAGAGTGATATTATCACATAACATTGTAATACAGAAGATTCTATGAATAAAAAGATAGCTTTTGAGATGGGCTTGATGTTCCAAATTAGTATGTTTTTTTGGGGGGAGGGGGCAGGAATTAGTAATAGAATGGGAACATTTCCATTGATTAATGAGAGAAGGTGAGGATTTGGCTATGCTAAATTTGTAAAGTCTGTCATATGCAGGGAGAATAGTGAAAACAACGATGCTTGGGGCAGGAGTGACAAGCAGGGGGTTGTTTCATTTGTCTTTGAACATGGTGTGTGGAGATGGGGATTGGTGGAGATAAGACTATGAGAAAAATCTGAATCCAGACCTTAAATGTCTTACATGCTAAGCCAGTACGCCAAGACTTCAATCTCTAGTAATAAAATTGTGATTGATGGTTCCCTTGAACAGGATGGAAATGCCATCATTTCTTCTCATCAGGGTGTAGTTTCATTTCTAACCTTAAATTTGATTAGTGTGGTGTTCACAAACATTGGTTCTGATGTTCAGTTGTCTTCTTTTGAGGCTCAGGTTACTGTAGGATCTCAATCAAGGTATTTCATCTTTTTCTACTTGAGTTTCTTCATCAGTAAGATGAGATCATTATATTCTCTAACTCATAATAGTAGTAAATGATAATTAAATAAGGTAATACATTGCATCATTTAGAACAGAGCCTGGCATCATTATCACCTAGTACCAAGGCCAATCAGTTACTCAATAATGCTACAGTGATTACTGAATAATTAATGGACCTCGGTAGCTGGTTGATGATGGTACTTATCATTCTTTCTCCTACAGCCAATACCTTACATGGAATTTCTTCTTTGACAGTGGATATTGCTATTATCTAAGACGTCCTGGTGTAAAACATCATGGTTTTGGCAGAACTGCAATGAAGCTACTGTAGCAGGAATGATAAATAGCTGAGGCATGATGGGGATGATCATGCTGTGAAATCAGGTCTGTGGTGGTCAGAGATAGGAATCAGAGCTCAGAGCAGCATCTACCTTCCCAGAAAATCACTGGTTAGTCTGCTGGAGGAAGAGCACTCCCATTTGAATTTTGGCTCAACCAGTGATGGATTTCCCTGCTGGTTTGTCATAATTGTGTCTCAGGCACTGGATTTTGTTGAGTAATCTTACAATTTTTATCCCCAAGCTATTCACGCACAACTGATTCTCTATCACACTCCATCCAACCAACCTCTTGCGTTGGTCTAAAGTCTAGACATAGACTGAACATTATACTTGGCAAAATTCCTCATGCCGCACTGACTGGAGCTTCACAACAACTGCTAGAGTTTAAGTAGACTATATATTGCTTTCTTGTAAGGAAATAAATAACAGAGAAAATGACTTGCGTTAAGCCACCTACCCAGTTAGTAGAAGCACTGGCCTGGAACTCTGTTGTGCCCTGCCCAGCTATATGAAGTTCTATCTCTAGCACCCTACTGCATAGAGATATCAAAATCCAATAGAGTGTGTATAGACAAGAGATATAAGAATATTACTCTCAAACCCAGATCCCAATACTTACATGATGCTCCTCTCAAAAATTTTAAATAGCCTTTCATTACACCTCATGTAACATAGCACAATAATAGGCTGTTAGTCTTACTTCAAAAGTTAGACAACTATGGGAGAGATGAGAGTTTCAGAAATAGGGCCTATAGAAGGTAGCTAAGAAAGACTGAAGCTATTTAGCTGGGAGAAGAGAAGGTGGATGAGTAACTTAATAATCTTCAAGGGTTATTAAAATACCAGCTGTTAGCCATTCCACAGAAGGTAGTAGGGAGGAAATTGCAGTAGTGAGAATTTAGCCACAGCATTATGAAGAACTTCTTTTCCCTTTAGTTATAAGGTCTATTAGACACTGAAACATGATACTAAGCAAAATTGTGGGCTTTTCCCCCTGGAAATATTCCAGGATAGGCTTGGTGGTAGTTCCCAAGCACTACCTTCTTGGACCATTAAGATCAACTCCCTTGGCACGTCTCTTACAAATGCAGATACCTGGGACCCACTTCAGATGTTCAGAGTCCCAATCACTGGGGTAGGGATGGGAGTCTACGTATTTTAAAAAGGCCCCAGGTGAGTCTTGTGTACAACCACATTTGGGAACCCCTTGTGTATGTAGAACCAGTGCAGTTTAACACAGCAAGAATATACTGAGTGCTTACTTGGTGATCCTACCACTGCTATTAGCCTCAGGGAATAAAGATAATAAAAGAATGTAGTATCATTTTAGTCCTTGTGGAGCTTTCAGTAAAGTAATTAAAGATTAATGATGAATTAGGACAACTGTTTTGCCTTTAACATAGTGTGATTTGAGGGAAGTTTCTTAATTCCTTTGGCCTGAGGTCCTAAATTGTTAAATTGAGGAGTTGAATAAAATGGTTTTATAAGTTCTTGTGAATCTTTAAAATAATACAGAATAAAGCCTATTTAGAAAAATAACTAAATCCTAATTAAAGAGTATGAGAGAGAATATCAAGAGAGAAACCAATTCATATGGGCAAGACTTGCCAGAAAAGACTCCAGGGAGAATAGGAAACTTAAATTTGGCATTGGAAGGTAGATGTGATAAAAAGATTAATGCATATGCATATGTATGTGGGGGGGCCTCAATTTTTTAAAAATACTACTGTATACTATGTACACACATGACATCATTTAATACATTACAGCATTTAATGTCTATAAAAGCGTGTGTTGTTAAATTGAGGACAATTTTTAGAAGATTTTACCATTTACTAGTCACTTAGGTGCTGTATAAATATTACCTGATTAAATAATCACTATTACATCATTTTCCAAGCAAAGTGCTGGTTTTCTATTTTTCTCCAAAAAATTCTTATGCTTGCATGGCATGAAGATATATTTGAGGGCAGAGAGAGAGAGAGAGAGAAAGGAAGGAAGAGAGGGAGGGAGGCAAAAGAAAGAAAGGAAGGAAGGAAGGCGGGCAGGGAGGGAGGAGAAAAGAAAAGAGGTTTGTGTAAGTAAAGTTAAATGAAGAGTACAGGCTACTGAAAACATGAATTTACTTTGAGTAGAGGATAAATGGTTGCTTTTCCTGGTTGTTGTGTGTTAATATAATTGGGGAGTATTAAGGAGGTGGTGCTTTTAGATTTCAATGATGCTTTTTTAAATAAAGACCGCTGAATTTATTTGTTTGTTTGTTAGTTAAACAAGGAATGCTTTGTGAATTTGCATGTCATCCTTGCACAAGGGCCGTGCTAATCTTTTCTGTATCATTCCAAGTTTAGTATATGGACTGCCAAAGCGAGCACAAGACCGCTGAATTTAAACACTGGAATATATATTCATATGGTAGCTTTAAATTTCCTAAGCAGTTATACATTTCCTTATTAAGTATGTTTTATAAATGCTTCTCATTTGTTTTTGTTGTTTGTTTTCTGTCCATTAGAAGAAGGGACTTTCCCAATCGCTCAAGGGCTTAGGCCTCATGAATTTCTGTCTCAAGTTTTCAAACACTTGATAAAGTGATCAAGTCATTTTTATCAGTGTGTGGATGACACAAATTCACAGGGCTCCTAGTAGTTATGATCTTGGGCTTAAGTACCAGTTAAACATAAATTCAAATCCCTATTCTGTCTAAAGAGCTGTGTAACTCAGAATAAAAGTAAGTATCTGAGCCATTTGCCACACTTATAAAATTGGGTTGTTTCTGTGATGATTCAATGATACAATGCATATATAATCTTTCATTGATCAAGTATGTCATAGATGGTGTAAAGTAACCCACAATCCATTCTAGCACATCAATTGTTTCCTGTGACCTCAGGCACCTTATCTATTCTGGTCATCACAGAAAAACTTCTAACAGTTATAAACCTGTGTCTCATTTTAATAATTCATGTGTCCTGTCCCTTATTGCTGGGAGCCGCACTGGCCTCTATGGATGGCAGTCACAGCAAGGAAATGGCAGTGTTTGCACAGCTTCTGCCATGAGAAATGAAAACTGGTATCTCCTGCTACTACTGGCTCATGTTGTGCTGGTATTGACCAGGCCTCACAATATTCCATATCAGACCAATATTCTGAACACAGGTAACTCATAAGGAAAAGCATATTCCTGCCTTTACAAGAGAGATTTTAGATGAAAGCTCTATGGATGATTGTCAAAAGGCTCTTCCTAAGGGCCTTGAAGATCCAAGACTTAGAGGGTTAAGAACACAAGAATTACAACTGAGCCTGGCCCCGAGACAAAGAGCCTAATTTAGAGTTAAGGTACAGATAAAGGCAGAACTTAAGTTAATACTTACACCTTCTCCTAATTGGTGATGTATAGCAGTCCCTTCCCCAAGGCCTACTTTCTGCAAACACCCTCCCTTACAGGTGGCTAGGATGAGGATAGATAAGAGTAGCTAGAACATTACCCACAAACAAAAGGCTGACACTTTTAGGGCCTCCATGGTGTTCACACATTCAGCATCAAATAGGTTTCCACAAACAACTTATTAACCAACTCAAAAACATACATTTGAGAGTCAGACAGAATGACTCTTAGCCTATCTATACACTTAACCTATGACCTAACCTTAGCGTTATTAACTTAGAACAAATATGTACCCTGTCTTTTACTAAGAATACCCTAATTCTCTAGTTATAAGATTTACTTAACCTCACTATAATTGCAATAGTTCTGCAAGAATATTTCTGTAAAACCTGCTTCTGTACACTTTCCAAAGCATCTTATCACAAAGAGCTATCCATTGTAAAACTTCCTTTTTCTGATGTCATGTTATCATTTAACCTATAAATAAAGACACCAAAACCGACAGGACAGAGATGACTGCCTGGTGATCAGAAAGGATCTCGGGGCTCTCTCACTCTCTTTCGCCGACACCGTCCATCCTTCAGGGACCCCTGGACCTGTCGGAGCCGGCGAGGCCTCCGGCACTTATAATCCTCAACAACTGAAACTTGATATAAATTTAAAGCTTCTCCCCTCCCCTCTTCCAAACTTGCTTTAGTCTCACACCCTGTAGGGGCAAAAATGTATGTAGGTAGGCATCTGCTCCTCTCCCTTTATTCTGGCTTCTAAACACTCTTAATTGAAGTGGGGGTAGAGGACAGGAAAGGGAGAAAGGAGGAAAATTTCTCCATGTCTGGCATTGGCTAGAGATCTAGCATCAGTGCTGTGTGCACATGACCGATATTTAATGCTCTCCATGTCCATCGTGAGTTCTCCTGGCACTACCTCCCCTAATCCAGAGTATCCATGGCCTCGATATTCATGACTCATCTCTGCCAACTTACCTTTTGCTGCTCAGTCCATAGTCTTCAGTTCTACTCTAGTCCTCATGCCCCTCCGTCCATGCAAACCTCTTAGACAATTCTATCTATACAACTCCAAACCAGTACTCTTTATGGGATGGCCTATACCTGATTTAGAGCAAAGGCCATACATCTTTTGATGGGGAGGGTGGCTATTTCTCAAACTACAATTGTCTACTCTGAGGATATAGGTCACTTTATCCAAGCTTTTGATATTTATATTTCTCAGATATGACTCAGACATTAAGTAACAGTTAGATGGAGATTCAATAAGCTCTTCAAATGGTTTCCCTAAAGTCTTGTGTCTTCTTGTGAAGTGCACAGGGAAGCTCTTTCCAATGGCGCCCTGGAAAAAAATGTACGACTTAAGGCATACACAGAGCTATTTACAAATTTCTTTCTTCACTCTCTATTTGATGACAATGTTATACCCATAATGAGATAAAGGTTGAAAAGGTTTAAGGTTATCATTCACTAATTTGAAATGTTGACTTCTTGGTATAGAATCTCCTTTAAGAATATGCCTTAGTCAAAGTTTACATTCTAAAATTCTGTTACATATATAAAGCTGCCAATATAGTACTTGCTCACATTGTTAGAAAGGTGAGTACTCATTGTAAAGTTGGAATTGTTATAATTGCAACATATCACTCACTTCCTAGAGAGACACACAAGCATATGTGCTGTTTGTGGTGCCACGCTTTAAGAGTAGCATTGGCATATAGAAGTGTTTCCAAAAGGAAGTTTAGCAAGAGCAAAGTTCACACAGATATCAAATTTATTATTTTAGTATTAAGTCACATGATATGAAATAAACATGATGGCAGGTAAATGATATAAACCATAATTACTACTTTAAAGTCCTCATGTTCAGCATGTAAATATTGAGTGAGTTGGCTCTACTATTTTGTTAGAAACTCTTCAAGAGTCTTTTCAAGACATTTTAGTAAAACTAAACTTGAATATGAGAGCTTGCCTGCCTGTGTTCCTTCCTTCCTTCTTTCCCTCCCTTCTTCCTTTTTCTTTCATGCGTTCTCTCCTAAATCATTTAGTACAAAAATCATTGGTGAGAAGGATCAAGGTTTGCATCCTTTAGGGAAGGAGGTCAATGTCTAATAGATATACTGGAGCCTGAATAGGTAAAGAGGGTTTCTGTGGAAGGTGGCTGGTGGTAATATGTAGGTGTGCATAGTAGTTTTATATACATAACACTCACACACACACATAAACATTTTATCTCAGTGGTCTGTCCACCAAGAGGGCCTGGACAGTGTCATCCCAGAAGAATGAACACATCCAAGACCCAGGCCTTTGTCTCTAAAAAAATTCTCTACTGAAATGAATTGAGATCCTTAGAGAAATGGCTGATTTTAGGGTTGTGAAACCAAAAATTCAAGATGAGCCTGATACAGGTTGGTATGTCAGAAATAATGTAAAAACAAAGAATATTGTGGACATGTAAAAAGAACACAGAAATCAGCCAGAAGGACCTCCCAGTGGAATAAGCTAGGCATCAAATTAAACAGAGATGATACTGGATTATAACCCATTGAATAAAACAGGCATCCGTGAGTCCATTCTAATACAAGTAAACAAATAAATGGGAAGAAGAAAACACTTTCTGCCTAATAAATGAATGCTGCCTAATAAATGGAGAAGGAATAATAGTGATAGAAAAATCACCATTTGGCAGCTGGAGGAATAATTATTTTCTCTAACTAACAGTAATAAATACTGAAACCGGTGGGAAAAAGTATGATAAGGAATAGAATATTTACTTAGTCTCAAAATAACTACTGTATTATACTTATTATGGAAATAATTTTACCGTAAAAAAAATCTTATAGATACAACATAAATCAGGTGATCAAATTTAACATCACCAGCAGTGGGATAAATTGAAATTGTGTATCACTTGATAGGATTTTATAAGAACACAAAATCACAATTTTTATGTGGCTGTCAAAAATCTATAATCTAAATCTGATCATAAGGAAACATTGAACAAATCCAAATTGAATGACAGTCTATAAAATGTAAAATTATCAGCTTGTGATGTTCAAAAGCATCAGGGTCATTAAAGGCAAGGAAAGGCTGAGGAACTATTGTCAACGGAAGGCTACTGAAATTTATGACCGTTGACGATGACACATGATTCTAGATTAGCCATGTTTGCTCTAAAGGGTATTTATGGAAATTAAAGATACTTAGAAGGGGTTTGTGAAATTAGTAATATGTATTAATTTTTTAAGATTCTGGCGGTTTTTTGAGGTTATATTAGAGAAGAGCCACGTTCATTGGACTTATAAACTAATATGTTCAGATAGAACATCATGTCCACAACTCACTCTCCAGAGCTTCCCAGAAGAAACAAAGTCTTTGTACAATTGTTGCAGATTTCTGTAAGTTTGAAACTACTTCAAAATTGAACAAAAAATAGAGGAAAATTTACACAGATACTATCTCTAGTAATATCAATTATGTATCGTTCCAAGTTAACTGGAGAATTAACTGATGGTATCCAGTTATAGAACGGTGGAAACAGGCAACTGATTAGCTTTTCTAGACCACCCACATGCACAAGACCATCATCTGTTTGAGTTTACATAAATAAATATTAGTGAGCCATGCCATAAGTATACTGAGGGCACAGGTCATTTAATAGAGAAAAAACTGTCATTAAGGCTGCCTCGTGTGTGTTGGAAATGAGGTTATAATTACAATTTCAAATATTTTAAACACTTTTTTTAAGTTTATTTATTTATTTGGAGAGGAAGAGAAAATGGGAACCGGGGAGGAGCAAAGAGAAAGGGAGAGAATCCCTGCACTATGAGCACGGAGCTGGATGCAGGGCTCGAACTCATAAACTGTGAGATCATGACCTAAACTGAAGTCAAGAGTTGGACACCCAACCCACTGAACCATTCAGGCACCCCTAAGTACTTTTTGATGTAAGAGTTTTTATATCTATTTCTTTAGGACTAGAAGA